CGGATTTCAGCGAACCCTACCTATCTGAAGTGGCATTTTGTCGCTCACCGACCGATTTTCCAAAAATCAACGTTGAAGAGAATGCAGCAAGTCGCGTTCTTCGTTGTGCTTGCTGTCATGTCGTTGTTCACGCGCGCTGCTACGGCCTGCCAGACCTCGAAACCTGTCACAACAGGGCGGACCTAGAGTCCTGGATTTGTGATGCTTGTAACTCTCCTGCGTTACAAGCAAGACCGGTGCGTTAATTCTCTGTCTTACAATATAGCGAGTTTTCAAATTATATCACGTACTCAACCTGCTCCACAAAAAGGTAGTCTCACTTGTCACTGGCACTACTTCAGGTTGCATATTTAGGCAGCTTATATCAGCACACCTCTTGAGTTCCGAAAGTTATTCACCGCGTCCTTGCTCAACAGCGCTGCTGCCTCTGCCCAATTCGAGGTGGAGCTTTGAAACGACTGGAGAACTCTAGCCTGGATGGTCAGTCGTTTTGGGTGCATCTCGCTTGCGCCATTGCGGTTGGAAAGCGCTGTCGCTTTGTCGATGTAGTCCGACGCAGACCCCTTCTCCTCCGCAGTGAACTACAGTCAACTTCTCTCTTACCGCCTCCCTCCTCTCCCAATCAACCTTCTGCTTCTAACGGAAGCTCCTGCCAATCTATCTCAGATCCTCTCCGCATAGGTACTTCATTCTCAGACGGAAAACCCTCTCCTCGAACATCTGTTCGCCAGCTTTATCGGGATGCATACGTGTGGGAGCCTCTAAAGCGGTAAGGGCTATTATGATCTGCTTCTTCATTAAATTGTTATCCGTCTTCACACTTCATTTGAATATGCAGTATCTTCAACTTTTTGAAGATGGTTGGCTTGCCAAGTTAGTTTCATCCTTGTGAACAATCTGAAGCGCTTTTAAACCACCACTATGCGCTAAAAGCCGTAGCGTAGAAGGCTACTAGCCGAACATATATGTTAGTTCCCTTATAAGGACGGAGAGTCAGGCTGCAATGGCTTCTTAACGCGACGTCTATAGCACTGTCACTCAGACATGAAAAGCATAGACAGTTTGTTTAACAGTATTTAGCATTGCACCCGCGTCCACCTTCAGTCACGCTCACTCCGTTTTGCCCCAAATGGGCGAGGGTGGACAGAGTAAAGCAGATACTACGCGATCCTGCTATCACTATAAACACTTTCACCATCCTGCGTTCACTTCTTCGTGGGGCACGTGGTAGACGTAGTTGTTTGCAATAGTCGAACTGCTTTATTCTACAGGCGGAATTAAGAAGTAACTGCTGGGGCATGGCATTTATTCGCCTGGCGTTTCGTGTATTCTCTCACATTCATCATTAGAGACAGCATCAGAAATGGGTATTTCGTAAGCAGGGAGTTGCAATAACTATATAAGATGCAGTAGTTATGCTACTGCATACATAGGACAGTTGCCTTTTTTGCGCTAATTACTCGATAGCCGGCACGCAGGTCGTCAGCTGTTGAAATTTCCTCGCTCATGCTCCGTGTTAGCGTAATGCTTGCTCAACCATTTGGCTCACCGACACTGGTGTTGGAAGATGTGGTCGCCCGTGGCTAATTTTATTTAAGAAGTTTCTGCACCGAATAGAGGTTGCAGAAATCATTGCACTTGTTGATAGACTAGGATCCCGTAAAACATACCTCAAGCAACCCGCAAGTCACTCGATTGTCACATATCGAGCGAATTTAGGCCTCATCAAGTTTGAATGCATGGCTGCATCTCGTCGAATGAGCCGCGACCTGAAAATGGGCGTCATTTCTGCACACTGCTGCCGCGTGTTCGGTCATTCGCGTCCACAGAAGGCTTCTTTCCGTCTATGCTGTTTCACAACACTTTGGCTTGCGCTTAGTTCAGGCGCAAAATCACTGTCCACTGTAAGGCAATAGGCAGAAAAGCCTTGCAAAGGGAATCCTGGAACATAAAAAAAGGCCTTAGCTTTGCTCCTGCTGAAAATTATATGAGTTGTACCTCTGACTAACCTTTTTTTTTATTCCTTTACGTTTTCGACAGCCCGAAAAAATCCGCGCGACCAGTACAAAAAATCCCAAAGCCTGCTCCTAGGGTTCCCAGACGAGGGAGGCCTCGAAAGTCCACAACTGTGGCTTCCAAGCTTCGCGGTGCATTGTAAGAAGATTTCTGTTTTATGTTATAAAGGGATAAAAACGTGCTTGTGTTTTTGCTAGTACCTATGTTGATAGTAGTACAAGGTGTAAACCACGGACTAGGGCTTCAAAACAGCCCGAGCATGCGCACATGCAGCCTCTTGAAGAGTCAATCACGGGTGCCTACGGTCTGGTAGGAAGGACTCTCGAGTGGATGTCAAGATTAGCGGTCCGGTTAGCTTAACATGCACATTATAAAAAGGCGTAATGGAATATCTTGATAAAAACAGCCTATTCGACGGTGTCCATCATGACTGTCGTTGAGGACACTTGCTTCATGAGTATTCTTTGCTTGCATGAGAAGCAGACAAAGGTTGCGGACGAAGGCAGGACATGGAAGTGGTTCTTGGACCCTCGATATTCGGTCGCCGGACCTGGAGAAGAGACTGTGTAGAGCTCCCCAGATCCGCTGCCACCAATCGTCACGCATGGAGAGGTACCGTCGTGACATCGTCGAGGCCGGCTAGTTCAGGCATGTTTTAAGTAACAAGTAATAGAGGCAGTCAAATAGACGCTGTATTTTTCGAATTCAGGAAGGTCTGTGATGAACTGCCACATCTTCTTTTACAAAATAGTTTGAAAATAAGAATCCGAGGCAGGATGTTCAAATGTATTGAAAAGTCCTGTCCTCTAGAATGCAAAGGGCTGCATTATTATTCAGTTATATCTAGGATTGGGTAGAGATTGAAAATGCTGTCCCCCAAGGTTTGTTATGCGCATTTCAGCATTAGGGAATTGGAAATATATGGGTTGGTGCCAACTGTACTGACGCCGCATTTGAAAACAGTTACTACTCTCCTGGCCTTCCGTTTTGCTTAGCAACTCTGCAATGACAATCATTTTTATTGTTCTACTTTGAATCGAGCACGTTCTTCTGTGTGTATGTGATACATAAATACAGTTTACAGCTGCTTTCTTAATACAGTGGACCCTTGGCTGAGGAGCAGTCACATCCACGAGCACTTCAGGCAACGAGCGAGCCACTCGCAGATATTTTGTTTCGATTGACGAGCTTCCACTCATTTAGCAAGTTGTCACCGCGTGTGTATGCCTGTATCCGCCGTTGATTCTTGCTCCCAGGACGTGGGTCTTCGGTTGCCTGCAGCTAATGAGTGAACTGGTGCAGTTTGATTGGCTATGTATAGCAAGACGAGCGTTTCCAATGACGTGTTAGGTACTGGAACGGATTAAACTCGTTAACCGAAGTTCCACTGTATGTGGTACATGGTTAGCGTTCTCGGAATACATCATCCAGTGCACTGTTTACGATCGATAGTGTTTGCACACTGTCTTCTGCATTTTACTCTCCGATTGTGTCTCCAGTGGAACAACTCTGTGCAATCACTTAAAGTCAGAAGGAGTCAATTGCACCCGCCCAGGTGGTTCCCTCGTCTGCTGCCTTGCTCGCCCTATCGCAGTCCATACAAACACGGCATCTGCCTATTCGGTCGTGTGTTAATCTACCCCACAGCTCAGGTCCTCATGCACTGACAATTTGCCCGTCGTATCCAATTTGGTCCACTGTGGGCCCCACAGCATGCTGGTGTAGTGACGGCGATTTGAGTCGATTCTTTAGCTCCAAGTTGATCCGGACCGAGGTAGTAAGGCATGGCTGGCTGGCTAGTAGCCCTTGTTGGATCAGGAGTCCTGGCGGATTGGCCTCAGTTCCGGCCGCGAGAAGGAGAAGTCGGAGCAG